AGTCAATTAAAACCATGTAAAAAACAGTATTATAAGGAAAGGCATATTATATAGGAAAAGCCATCACCCATTAAAGGAAACAAAGAAGAACCAAAAAATAGAAAGTGTAGGGCTTCCCTGGTGGCACAGTGGTTGAGAATCTGCCTGCCAGTGCAGGGGACACAGGTTCGAGCCCTGGTCTGGGAGGATCCCACATGCCGCGGAGCAACTAGCCCTGTGAGCCACAGTTACTGAGCCTGCGCATCTGGAGCCTGTGCTCTGCAACAAGAGGCCGCGATAGTGAGAGGTCGGCGCACCATGATGAAGAATGGTCCCCCGCTTGCCGCAACTAGAGAAAGCCCTCACACAGAAATGAAGAGCCAACACAGCCATAAATAAATAAATTAATTAATTAATTTTTTTTAAAAAAGGCAAAATTCCTTTAAAAAAAAAAAAAGAAAGTGTAAAATGGTATGGCAGGGGTAAGGCCAACTATTAGTGAAACAGTAAATGGAAATGGAGAAAACTTTACTAAAATTAGATTTTTTTAAAACAACCCAACATGATCATTACTAGAGGAACACATAATACAGAAGAATAGAAATAGAAAGTTTAAATGTAAAAGCATGGACAAATTTCATTAATTACAACAGAAAAGAAGCAGATGATATCAAATAAAGCAAAACTGAAATAAACAAAGCAGGTCATGTTATAATAATCAGAAGTGAATAATCATAATGAACTCTTCTGTGATAAATCTCATTGTTTCAGAATAAACTGAATACAATCCAAATGTCCCACTAGAAGAATGGTCAAATGTATTGTGTTACATCTGCGTGGTGGCCTTATATATAGTGATTAAGAATGGTGATACTAAAGTTTTTTTGTTCACAAGGAAGGCTGTTACCAATGTATTGTTGATTGAAGAAAGCATATTGCAGAGAGTATGGATATTATTCTTCTACTTTGGTTAAAGTATAACCAAAATGTTAACCAGGATTATTTCTAGGTGATGAAACTAGAGTCATTTAAATATTTTCATCTGTACTTTAATCTTTTCCTGTGGTAAATGTAGTACATCATATTATTGTGCCCAAGTAATCACTACCTCTTCCTCTGGGAGGATTATACTTTCATGCCTCATGGACTTCAATTTGCGCATGTGACTTTCTTTGGCCAATAAAACGTGAGTGTAAGTGGCATGTGCCGCCTACAAGCAAAAGCTCTAAGAACTGTCGAGTGGTCCTGCCATGGCTGTTTTCCTCCTTTCACATGGCTGTTTTCCTCCTTTCCTTCATTCTTTGGCCTGGAATGAAGAGGAGATAGAGCAGGGCAGCAGCCGACCTCCAAAGGAATGGGTAAGAAATAAACCTTTCTTGTAAGCCCTTGAGATTCTGGAGTTGTGTGTTACCACATCACAACTTAGCCCAGGCTAAGTAGTCCCCAGTTTCAGATGTTTTTCTGAACACACAGAATGTATGATGCCTGTAAACAACAAGTTGTAGAAGTCTTTCCTGCCACTTTTTGCTTTAGTTAGGTCCCTAGGTCATAAATCTGAATTTTATGTCACTCAGTGTAAATGCAAATGTTACAGTACTTAGAAACAATTGTAGTGATCCAACTGATGTGGAGGAATGAAACAGGGAAATTAGATGTTAGGCTCTCATATTGCTGTTTTCAGCCACAATACTTTTCTCATTGAGTAGAGGAATTATGTTGGTGTTGACATTAAAATGTATGGTCTAGGACTTCCCTGGTGGCGCAGTGGTTGAGAGTCCACCTGCCGATGCAGGGGACGTGGGTTCGTGCCCCGGTCTGGGAAGATCCCACATGCTGCGGAGCGGCTGGGCCCATGAGTCATGGCTGCTGAGCCTGCGTGTCTGGAGCCTGTACTCCGCAAGGGGAGAGGCCACAACAGTGGGAGGCTCGCGTACCGCAGAAAAAGAAAAAAAAAAATCTATGGTCTAAAATAGGTTTAGAATTTTCTTTCAGCGATTTCTGAAAATGTGCTTTGACAGAGATGAAATAAGTCTTTTTAAAAATGTCACAGCAATTCTTACATTCTAGGAATAATGAATAAATAGTTGCAACCTACTAACAGAGTTTAGACTTACTTTTGTAATGCATTTTGAAATAGAGTAGTGATCAGACACTTGATTTATAATCAAATTGGAATGATCTTTAAAGGTCATTTCATTCAACCTTATATTAGGTACCTGAGACTCTTTTTGTTAAAAGAGATTTTTAAAAATAATAGAAACAAAGACAGTAACCTCAAAAACAATTCTTGGGATGAATTAAATTCTCTCACTCACCTTTTCCACATTCCTGATATTATTCAAGATATTCATGATTATAATTCAACCAAATGCTACCCTTTCTCAAAGACAGATTACCCTGAAAATATCATTTTAAATTAAAACCAAGGTGTTAGCATTGATGTTAATGAGGAAAGTGAAGTTGGATGCTATTAGGGAAAAGAAAAAGTACATCAGAAGAAATGTTGGCCCTTGATGTAGCTTGGATTAAATTTACTGCCAAATGGTTGAGAGTTTGATGAGTTTGGTTCTCAGCCTCGTCCCTTGGGGCACTTGAGCACATCACAGAACTTCCATACTTTTAGCTCAAGTATCAGCATATACTTGTAAAGCATCTTGGACCAGAAAGCAAAGTACTTCACATCAAGAATTTGAGCAGTGTTCTTGCTTTCTGTTGCTGGCACCAGAGTTTGGCTTGAGAAACTTTACTTACGCTTATTAGGTTACCTTCATAAAACAGAAGGATTAGCTGACCACCTAGCAAGTGTCAGCTTATACTGTCTCTTGCCAGTACTAAACAAAACCTGATCTCAAGCCAAAGAAAGAGTTCCACAGCTCTTTACATTTCTGTTAGCCCAAACACTAGTTTTGTTTCAAGAGAAAGTCTTCGAATTTGGGAGTAAGTAGCTTTTATTTTTCCTGTGGTGACAGGTGATGTCAAAATCTTATGAAAGGAACACAAGTTCTAGTCACTAGAAAGTCCCAAGTTTTTCCAATTTATAGTCATTTGCCTTTTAATTATTGGGACTGTTCTTTCGAATATTCTCTATAACCTATTAACCATTAAAGTCCTGATTATATTCAGGGTCACATACTCTGTTAACGTAATGTTGCAGATTTTAAAAATATAATTATAGGCCTGTATAAAATTTAATTTGCTTGCACTTGCAGAGCTTACATGATCTATACATAAGTCATTCGATACATTTGTACTGTTAACATAGTCTATTAAACATTTGTCTCCAGCCTAAATTCCTCAGAGCTCCAGACCTACCTTTCCATGTGTTTATCCCCACTTGAATGCCTCCATTGTACCTTAACGTTAACACGTCTGAAACCATACTCATGACCTGCTGTCAATCGTGGATTTCCTTTGGCCAGCCCTCGCTAGGAATACCAGAAACCTGGGAACCATCCTCAACACCGCTTTTCCTCCTCCATATCTACTCATAACTGACAGGACTAGGTGCTGAGTTTCCTGCCACCTCTCTAGTTCACTATCTCTTGTTTCCTGATCAGGCCTCCCTCATCTTCTTTACTTCCCCAGTTTGGTTCTCCTCATGGCTGCCAAAGTGATCCTTTAAACACACAAATCTGGTTATACCTCACCTCTTTATGGCCTCCTATGCTCATGATAAATATCAAAATGCTGAACATGGACTACAAGGCCCTGCAGGAATTGACCTGTGCCTTTCTTTGACCATCATGGCACTGTCTCTGTGTGCTCTGATCATGTTGACCAGCATGAATCCCTTGATCACACCCAGCTGGACAACCAGACACCTAGTTAACTCTTTCATATCCTTCAGATCTCAGCTCAAGCCCACTTGCACAGGGATACCTCTGACCTCCAGACCTAGTGAGTTGCCCTCGCCATGTGTCCTCCTAATACTCCATGCATCTTCATCCTTTTTTGATTTTTTTCATTGACTGTCTCTCCCTCTGGACTGAAAAGTTTAGGTCTCACTTTTCTTTGGTCTAAAGATTGATTTCTCTTCATCACCAGCAGCTTTCTTTTCTAATTTGTGCTAAAGTACTTACCCAAGGGTTCTATGCTTCCTTCAAGGTATTATGATTAAGATTGGGCCTGGAACTTAGCCTTCCACCTTCTTAGAAGAGGACAAGTTCACTTCAGTTGTCAGTGTTTTGGGACACAGATTGTTTGTTACGTAAGCTTTTCATCTTACACTGTCATGCTTACCTTTAAAAAAATATTTTTTCTAGCAACCTGTGTTGCCAATTACACAATGCTTCTCTTGGGGACAAGTTTTTAGCCCTATTAGTTACAACGCAGACTTTCCTTATATGAATCCAAATGAAAAATGAAATGGTTCTTGGCTGTGGATAAGTGAAGCAACTCCATCATTACCCCAGTCCCGGGACATGCCTGTCAGTCTGTAGATACTTGTGAGCCTGCTGGTCGCTGCGAGTCATATGTAGGTATGCTGTGGTCTTGAAGTACAGATAACAGTACATATGTGTATTCCTTGATCCTTCCCAAATGCTGGACCATATGATGCATAAAGTACATCAACTCTTTTGCCTTTTTTCACTGACTGCTTTTTGTCAGATTTAACTATCACATGCATGACATGACTGAACTAAACTGATGACAAACATGGGTGGAGCTCTTATTATAATCCACTGAGCAGGGGAAATTAAATTTCAAGGGAAGAAGCTGATATACTTTGGTATGAGGGTCCAGAACATAGCATTGTAATCTGCTTTAAAACAACAACAATACAAGGGAAGAATATCACTTTAACGTGTGGTTTCTTCCTGTTTTCCATGTTGACAAACTTTTGTTACATACTAATGCTTTTATCCTCTACCTTAAAATCTAGAAGAAGAAATAGTATTTTGTAATGTGTCAGAGTTTTTCCTCTCACCTTTTAGTACTGTTGCCTAGAAAAAATTATTTTTAATTTAATGATTTTTAAATCATTCACATGAGGTTTTTTTGTTTGTTCACTTTGCTTTTAGGTGTTTTGGACACCCTCAGTATTTGCCTCATCTTTTCTAGTCAAACCTGATTCATGAAATGGACTAAAGCTGAAAAATCATCTGCTTCTTTGTCTGTGAATTTGAGACACGATTGGGATGGTCTTCAGTGCATACAACTAGATTCAAACTGCAGCTATGAGTTCAGATGAGAAGGGCATATCCCCTGCTCATAGAACATCCACCCCCACCCATAGAAGTGCCTCCTCTTCAGCATCCTCTCAAAGGGACAGTAGGCAGGTAAGATAACAGTGTAAAGTGCATTTTGTTATTTTATGCAACTATAGTACCATTAGGATATGATGGGATTGCTAATTAAGTCTGAAATATTTGCTGTGAAGATTTTTATTCCACAGGAAAACTCACTGTTTTCTGTAGATCTGCCTGATGATGTCATGAAGATCCTGCTCTAGCTTTTCTGTGATGCAGAATCCTTTCTCAGAGTACAAACTACAGGAAGGGTAGCTAAGTGAAGCCCTGCAGTGTTCTCCTCACATCTGTACCTGGAGGCAAGAGGCAGCTTCTGGAACGTGAATGTTCTGTTCTTCCTTCCTCATTCATGGAGGTGGAAAGGGATCTGAACAGTCTTCCTCCAAGTCTCTCACTGGTCTGCCAAGCCCTAACTTCTGTTTGGAGTTTCATGGGATCTGGTAACAGTCAGATTCAGGAATCAGGTTACAAATAAAATTGTAGAATCAGGGAATTAAGGGAATTAAAATCAATAGAGAAAATAAATTATTGGTGCTTAATTATCCCATTGAGCCCATTCTGTAAATTATTTTTGTTTACACAGTTACTTTATTACTACCTCAGTGCCTGTTCTACAGGCAAGGTTGTATGGGGATTAGGCACATGAATTCGCTTCATTGTCAAAACAGGTGATTGTTTTGCCCAGCACTTGTCTGAATATTATCATTTGCCATTGTAATATTGAGAAGAATTTCTTGTGTAACTGGAAATGCACAATAAGCAGAGGTTAACTTTTTATGAAAACTTTCCTTTTGGGGGACATTCAATTAGTGAACATTCTTGAAGAGTTTTTCCTCCCATTTTATTTTATTTTGTTTATTTATTTTTTAACATCTTTATTGGAGTATAATTGCTTTACAATGGTGTGTTAGTTTCTGCTGTACAACAAAGTGAGTCAGTTATATATATACATATATCCCCGCATCCCCTCCCTCTTGCATCTCCCTCCCACCCTCCCTATCTCACCCCTCTAGGTGCTCACAAAGCACCGAGCTAATCTCCCTGTGCTATGCAGCTGCTTCCCACTAGCTATCTACCTTACGTTTGGTAGTGTATATATGTCCATGCCTCTCTCTCGCTTTGTCACAGCTCACCCTTCCCCCTCCCCATATCCTCAAGTCCATTCTCTAGTAGCTCTGTGTCTTTATTCCTGTCTTACCCCTAGGTTCGTTAGAACCTTTTTTTTTTTTTGGATTCCATATATGTGTTAGCATCTGGTATTTGTTTCTCTCTTTCCTACTTACTTCACTCGGTATGACAGACTCTAGGTCTATCCACCTCACTACAAATAACTCAATTTTGTTTCTTTTTATAGCTGAGTAATATCCCATTGTATATATGTGCCACATCTTCTTTATCCATTCATCTGTCGATGGACACCTAGGTTGCTTCCATGTCCTGGCTATTGTAAATAGTGCTGCAGTGAACATTGTGGTACATGTCTCTTTTTGAATTATTGTTATCTCAGGGTATATGCCCAGTAGTGGGATTCCTGGGTCATATGGTAGTTATATTTTTAGTTTTTTAAGGAACCTCTATACTGTTCTCCATAGTGGCTGTATCAATTTACATTCCCACCAACAGTGAAAGAGGTTTCCCTTTTCTCCACACCCTCTCCAGCATTTATTTTTTCTAGATTTTTTGATAATGGCCATTCTGACTGGTGTGAGGTGATACCTTGTACTTTTGATTTGCATTTCCCTAATGATTAGTAATTTTGAGCATCCTTTCATGTGTTTGCTGGCAGTCTGTATATCTTCTTTGGAGAAATGTCTGTTTAGGTCTTCTGCCCATTTTTGGATTGGTTTGTTTGTTTTTTTGATATTGAGCTGCATCCTGAGCTGCTTTTATATTTTACAGGTTAATCCTTTGTCAGTTGCTTCATTTGCAAATATATTCTCCCATTCTAAGGGTTGTCTTTTTGTCTTGTTTATGGTTTCCTTTCCTGTGCTAAACTTTTAAGTTTCATTAGGTCCCATTTGTTTATTTTGGGGTTTATTTCCATTTCTCTAGGAGGTGGGTCAAAAAGGATCTTGCTGTGATTTATGTAATAGACTGTTCTGCCTATGTTTTCCTCTAAGAGTTTTATAGTGCCTGGCCTTACATTTAGGTCTTTAATCCATTTTGAGTTTATTTGTGTGTATGGTGTTAGGGAATGTTCTAATTTCATTCTTTTCAATGTAGCTGTCCAGTTTTCACAGCACCACTTATTGAAGAGGCTGTATTTTCTCCATTGTATATTCTTGCCTCCTTTATCAAACATAAAGTGACCATATGTGTGTGGGTTTATCTCTGGGCTTTCTCTCCTGTTCCATTGATCTATATTTCTGTTTTTGTACCTATACCATACTGTCTTGATTACAGTAGCTTTGTAGTATAGTTGGAAGTCAGGAAGCCAGATTCCTCCAGCTCTGTTTTTCTTTCTCAAGATGCTTTTGCTTTTTGGGGTCTTCTGTGTTTCCATACAAATTGTGAAATCTTTTGTTCTAATTCTGTGAAAAATGCCATTGGTAGTTGCACAGGGATTGCATTGAATCTGTAGATTGCTTTGGATAGTATAGTCATTTTCACAATGTTGATTCTTCCAATCCAAGAACATGGTATATCTCTCCATCAGTTTGTATCATCTTTAATTTCTTACATCAGTGTCTTATAGTTTTCTGCATACAGGTCTTTTGTCTCCTTAGGCAGGTTTATTCCTAGGTATTTTATTCTTTTTGTTGCAGTGGTAGATGGGAGTATTTCCTTAATTTCTCTTTCAAATTTTTCACCATTAGTATATAGGAATGCAAGAGATTTCTGTGCATTAAAGTTGTAACCTGCTACTTTACCAGATTCATTGATTAGCTCTAGTAGTTTTCTGCTGGTATCTTTAGGATTCTCTGTGTATAGTATCATGTCATCTGCAAACAGTGACAGTTTTACTTCTTTTCTGATTTGTATTCCTTTTATTACTTTTTCTTTTCTGATTGCTGTGGCTAAAACTTCCAAAACTATGTTGAATGATAGCAGTGAGAGTGGACAACCTTGTCTTGTTCCTGATCTTAGAGGAAATGGTTTCAGATTTTCACCATTGAAAACGATGTTGGCTGTGCATTTGTCATATAGGGCCTTTATTATGTTGACTTAGTTTCCCTCTATGCCTACTTTCTGGAGAGTTTTTATCATAAATGGGTGTTGAATTTTGTCAAAAGCTTTTTCTGTGTCTGTTGAGATTATCGTATGGTTTTTATCCTTCAGTTTGTTAATATGGTGTATGACATTGATTGATTTGCGTATCCTTGCATTCCTGGGATAAACCCCACTTGATCATGGTGTATGGTCCTTTTAATGTGCTGTTGGATTCTGTTTGCTGGTATTTTGTTGAGGATTTTTGCATCTATGTTCATCAGTGATAGTGACATTTAGTTTTCTTTTTTTGTGACATCTTTGTCTGGTTTTGGTATCAGAGTGATGGTGGCCTCATAGAATGAGTTTGGGAGTGTTCCTCCCTCTGCTAGATTTTAGAAGAGTTTGAGAAGGATAGGTGTCAGCTCTTCTCTAAATGTTTGATAGAATTCGTCGCTGAAGCTATCTGATCCTCAGCTTTTGTTTGTTGGAAGATTTTTAATCACAGATTCAATTTCAGTGCTTGTGATTGATCTGTTTATATTTTCTATTTCTTCCTGGTTCAGTGTCGAAAGGTTGTCATTTTCAATGTCATTGTCATTTTCTAAGAATTTGTCCATTTCTTCCAGGTTGTCCATTTTATTGGCATATAGGTGCTTGTAATCTCTCATGATACTTTGTTTTTCTGCAGTGTCAGTTGTAACTTCTCCTTTTTCATTTCTAATTTTATTGATTTGAGTCCTCTCCCTCATTTTCTTGATGAGTCTGGCTAATGGTGTATCAATTTTGTTTATCTTCTCAAAGAACCAGCTTTTAGGTTTATTTATCTTTGCTATTGTTTCCTTCATTTCTTTTTAATTTATTTCTGATCTGATCATTATGATATCTTTCCTTCTGCTAACTCTGGGGTTTTTTCCTTCTTCTTTCTCTAATTGCTTTAGGTGTAAGTTTAGGTTGTTTATTTGAGATGTTTCTTGTTTCTTGAGGTAGGATTTTATGGCTATAAACTTCCCTCTTAGAACTGCTTTTGCTGCAGCCCATAGGTTTTGGGCCATTGTGTTTTCATTGTCATTTGTGTGTAGGCATTTTTTGATTTCCTCTTGGATTTCTTCAGTGATCTCTTGGTTATTTAGTAGCGTATTGTTTAGCTTCCATGTCTTTGTATTTTTTACAGTTTTTTTCCTGTAATTGTTATCTAGTTTCGTAGCGTGTGATCAGAAAAGATGCTTGATACAATTTCAATTTTCTTAAATTTACCAAGGCTTGATTTGTGACCCAGGATATGATCTATCCTGGAGAATGTTCCATAAGCACTTGAGAAGAAAGTGTTTTCTGTTGTTTTTGGATGGAATGTCCTGTAAATATCAATTAAGTCCATCTTGTTTAATGTGTCGTTTAAAACTTGTGTTCCCTTTTTTTCATTTTGCATGATCTGTCCATTGGTGAAAGTGGGGTGTTAAAGTCTCCTACTATTATTGTGTTACTGTCGATTTCCCCTTTTATGGCTGTAGCATTTGCCTTATGTATTGAGGTGCTCCCATGTTGGGTGCATAAATATTTACAATTGTTATATCTTCTCCTTGGATTGGTCCTTTGATCATTATGTAGTGTCCTTCTTTGTCTCTTCTAATAGTCTTTATTTTAAAGTCTATTTTGTCTGATATGAGAATTGCTACTCCAGTTTTCTTTTGATTTCCATTTGCATGGAATATCTTTTTCCATTCCCTCACTTTCAGTCTGTATATGTCCCTAGGTCTGAATTGGGTCTCTTGTAGACAGCTTATGTCCAGGTATTGTTTTTGTATCCATTCAGCCAGTCTGTGTCTTTTGGTTGGAGCATTTAATCTGTTTACATTTAAGGTAATTATCAATATGTATGTTCC